GTGAGACACACACTCGGGGTAACATTAACAATAACCGACACCAATGCTCAGACAGACAGGAACTAATATGGGGTGAATAATTAGAGGCAGACAGGTGAGCACAATGACGGTGATTAACTAATGATTAAACGGGCTAAACCAACACAAAGGGAAGAAACCACAACAAACAGTCCACAGGGGCGTTACAGTGTGTTGATATTATTTATCAAAAGATAATCTTACAATACCAGTTTGGTGCTCACATAAATGATGCATAAAACATCTAATAGTGACATTCAGGCTGTTCTTTCAGCCTTATTCTTGCGTTTCTTTAATTCCTCTTTTACTGGTACAAGTCTATTTGTGATTCAAATAAATGTATCAAATAAAAGCTTTTTGTATAGAGCAGAGCAACTCTTGTGCCTCAGGCTTTATCCGGCTGCACTTAGTTCCCCCAGAAGTCTGAATTAACTGAGGGTACTATCTAGGAATGAGTGAATATGTGTGTCTGTGTTCAACAGCGCATAGTCTTCCCTACGGCAGCAGTGGCTCTGTGTCTCACTACTGCCACAGATTGACTGATTAGATTAAGCAAGAAGCTTTCCTGAGATAATCATTCAGCAAGCCATTTCCTCTAGTGGAGACTGTGCTCCTCAAGACCATCCACTGAAGGTCAAATAATTATAGTAAAGGAGAATTTTTGGCATTTCGCTTTGTAATACAGACTTTGCGTTGTTTGGAGTAATTGTATGTGACGGTGAGTCACTCAGTCTCTGAAAGCAGCACCTTGACTGTGCTGGTCGAGGGGCTGCATTTGTCTCGTTGTTGCCGGAATGGACATGTAAAACAAATCTGTGAGTATTTCTCCATCTGTTTTATGATAATGAATTGAAGTACGTTGACTATCATGTTTTGTTTAGTTTAGTGCTTAAGTCTTTAAAATCATTGTTTTAGTCATTTGTTTGGAAAGTCAAGTTTTCTTCTGTAACTGGGAAATAAAAGACTTATTTGATGCAGATAAAAAAGGTAAAGGTAAAACTCCAATAGTTTTGTGAGCAAACATTTAATGATCAAAGAAAAAAGCGGTGCTTTAAAGTCTTAAAAATGCTAATTTATTCAAGATGACCCAAACATGTTTTGTTGTCCATGACCTTTGAGAGGGCTTTAGATGTCACTTCAAACAGCCTTTGAATCTCAACATAATTTACAATTATAAAAAATCCTAGATTTCATTGCTGATTTTGGTGAAAATTGTTTATTTGTTTTTTTTTTCAATCCAGGGTTATTATAATTACCTAAAACTAAAGATAAAATATTGAACTAAATGACCATTAGAAAAACTGCCTTTACAGCTAACTGAAATAAATTTAATATGAAGCACTGAAATTACTAGAACTAAACTAAAACTGAAATATTGTTAAAATAAATGTATTTTAACTAATTGTAGAGATCCGAAGTGGTTATCTGATTCTCCGGTTGGGTTATGGAGCAGAGGAGACAGGTACCTGGGAGCCCAGAATGAAACAGACACAAGTGGTGCAGTTCAATCTAAGTTCAGTTTTATTGGTTATTTGATGCGTATATATAGAGTCAAGCAGAAGTGAAATATTGAGCAATGAGAATGTAGCAAGAGCTAAAATATCCTAATATGGCAGTGGTATGTCTTATGACCACTGAGTAATGTCTATGCCCAAAAATATAGCAAGCGCAGCAAGACACAGCAGGCACAGGATCTCACAAATATTAATAATAAACAATATTAATATAACACTGGTTCAATCATTTGTTCATTCAATTACACTTTCTTTCGAATACCCTCTAAAACGTTATTTCCCACTCTATTTTTTTTCGAACACAACTTTTGAATCATGTCTGTTGTCTTTGGCAGGTCTCTCTTCTAGACGAGACGCTGGTTTTATGTAACAGAACTAATTTTAGCATTCCATTCTTTAAGCAGACGTAACGGATCTTTCCACTCATGGGCCATTACAAAAGCCAACTGTCACTTTGCATACCTATCAACATCATCTTTAACCAGTGACATACGGTTTGATGTGACTTCCTTTGTTGATTGACAGTGGTATCACTTGATCTGGCAGAAGTGACAGTCCATGAATAATCACATTTATTTGGCTTCAAGTGATAAATGGTTATATAAGCTGACATGGGAATGATAGAGCATGTAATGAACTTGCTTTCATTTTTTTGTTTTAGATGTAACTTGGTGCAAACCTGATGATTTGACCTCCTGTTACTCTGATCAACCTAAGATGAGAGAAAATACACCAGAAAATCAAATGGAAATGGCATTTGAATTACATCTGGTGTGTCATCAGAAGAGTCGGTTTTTGCGTCCCTGAGGAATTAAGGCTGGATATTGTCACTGCTTACCTCAGGGGAAGCCACTTCTCCTCCATTTTTTGGTGCACTTCAGCGGGACTATGGCCAAAAACTCATTCCGTAGGTCGAAATACAAGACAGAGGCCAATCATGATGGAGATTTTGGCTGCACACTCAAAGAACTTAGATCACTCATGGAACTCAGAGGGACAGATGGATTACAAAGGATTCGGGATTGCTATGGAGATGTTCAGGGACTCTGTTCCAGGTTAAAATCATCACCAATAGATGGTAAATATTTCCTTTGCTACCAATGTTAATGTTTATGCATTAAATGACATTGATAAAATGCACTGTTCTTTTATCACCAAAATTAATTAAAAAAAAAAATGGCTAAAAATTTATATTTAGTTAAATTGGAAAATTTATAGAATTTGCCATTTTGGCCAATAGGTTGATAATTATTTTCAGATAATTATTTTCAGACTGTAGCCGATAACTAATAAATAGTCAATATTGAATTTAAATCAATTCAAAATAAAACACTAAAACCATCAGTCATTTTAAATGTTAAAAGTGAATTTAAGCACCACAACATTATAAACATGGATATTAGTTTTAAGATTTGCTTAAGACTGCATTTAATAGTGTATAAAATTGTGTACTTTTAAACATTAACTATAGGTGAGCTTAACTGACCATAAAGGTAATCTAAATATAAAAACTGAGGAAATAAGCATGCACAATTAAATATCCAATATCAAGTAATACCAATGCATTTGAAAAATCTCTAATATCGGCCAGTTACCAAGATGGTACCTATATATCATGCATTCCTACAAAAAAATTAAAACAACTTTCAGCTTTGCTGAGCCTCAGTTCTTATTTTACCAAATGGTTTAGTGACGCTGAGGCTGGTTTAGCCTGGTGGTTATAGATCTGAGCTGAGCAAAGGTTGTATGTTCAAACTTCATGGGGGATGATCCATGACCTCTCACCATTTCAGCCTTGAGCAAGGCACTTAACCTCAGGCTCTTCCTGGAAGACTGTCTCCGTAACAAGTGCAGCGTAATCGCTTTGGATAACTGTGTGAGCTAAATAACTAATTAGCAATTAGAAGTTTCAGACATCTTTTTCCATGTGCTTTTTCCTTTCCCCATTAGCACTGTAGCTTTCATCAAGGACCATATTTTAGCTTTAAAATACTCTCTCAGAATTGCCCTTTGACAGTGGAGCAATAATGACATATAATGAGGTACATAGTTTGTCTGCATGATCCAGTTGAAAGGCTGTGTCTTTAAGAAGAAGTTGTACCACTTTATACAGTCGCTAATCTGTTAGCATATCTATTTTTGACCATATTATGAAGGATTTCCATCAAGCAAATGTAGTTTACCTGGATATATTCCATTTTTCAAGTCTAACTCTTGTCTACAGCATATCATTTTGCATTATCATTATGTCACTTTAAAATAAGTTCCATGTATTTACATTAGTTAACATGAACTAACTATGAAAAATACTTCTAAAGCATTTATTAATCTTAGTCAATGATTATTTCAACTAATACATTATTAAAATCAAAGCATTAATGCATTAACTAACGTTAACTAATGGTACATTTTATTATGAAGTGTTACCATTATTTTAAACTATTGACAGCCCTAATAATTTCAGTTATTATTTCTGGTTTATATCTTTTTCTGAATCATTCCAAGTGACCCTGGTTAGGAATGAAAGCTACAATGAATAATATGACCAATATTTTAGAAGGTTTATTACATTTCTAACTACATTACAGTTATAATGTGTCAATCAGCTGACAAAAGATGTTTAACCGCCTGACATTATTGCCTTTCTTGTTACTTTCTTTCTTACTTATTGCCTTTCTTGTTACTTAGGTTATCAAAGTGACCATCATGTCGTCTTGGATTTTACAGTTCCACTTTTTGCTTATTTCACCTTTTTATTCATCTCCTTCTGTGCTTCTAGTTTAGACTAATCTGTCTTTATATTTTTTCAACGAGATCAACTCCAATCATTTGTCTAACATGATCAGCTTATGCTTCCCTTGATAATTCCAGGAAATATGTTTACACTCTCCTCGTGTGATTCTTTCATTTAAGATTTTTTATGTGTATTATAAATACACAATCTGTCTGTTATGAAAGAGTCCTATCTCTTGTTAAAATCAGACCTTGATTATTGCTTTTTATGTCCTATTTACCTTGTCATCCATCGATATTTTCCAGTTCGATATGCATTGGCTTACCACTCCGCACTGACATGTTTAGCTGTGTCATGAGCCATAACAGACTGTTGTAGTTGTGACAGGTGGGACCAGATCAATTTACCTCATGTAATCCCACTCACCTTAAACCGAGGCAGGCTCTTCATTGCTCCGCTTCACGCTAATTTCACTGGCCGATGCTCTGCTGCATGGGGTTTACGTTCATTTTTGCCCTTGCCAACAGTGGCTAAACCTTTGAGGGGGCAGAGGACTAGCGTTTTGTAATTGAGCAAGGGAAGGAAGAGAGGGATTACACTGTGTTAGCGTTCAGGCTGTGCTCTTGCTTGCGTGGGGAGTTGAAATATTGATATTTTGTGGAATCCATTATATTTAAAATGAAAAGCAAAGTAAAAACCCTCTCTAAATCCAATTCAATTTCTCAAGTGTTTTAAAATTCAACTTGATCCATCTGTCATTTTTTGAATATGTTATTTAAATCATCAGTATGTTTTCCCTGTACTATTTCAAAATGTGTTTTTAAATGTGCAGTTGCAAACTCTGTACTTATAGATACGCCATAAGGATATTTAGGTCATCTAAACGTCATATGTAATTGAAACATGGTCATTAATAATTATCTTGAGTGACCCACCAGAAATCTTTGTACAATCCGGAGGTGTTAAATTATGCTGTTAGATATCTTGACTGTAATGGTATATCTTATTTTTATATGGTGTAATAAAAATGGTATAATATTTTTTCAACCAGAACAGTAAGCTTATTTGATATGGTAAAAAGGCAAAAAAAAAAAGTTACATATTTGTTGTTATTTGCTTTTTGCTCCATTTTATGACAGTAATCTTAATAATTTTTATAATCGATACTTTAATATGTTCTGTAATGGTCATGTGATACACTGAATTTTTTTTTTTTTTTTAAATAAAACAGATTATTGGAGTAATGATCAATGTGTTACTTGCTGTTTGTTTCTATACCAAATATCTTAATGTTTATTCTGCTCTTTCTCTTTGTTTAGGGTTAAGTGGTCATTCTGATGACATTTCAAGAAGAAAAGAAGAATTTGGAAAGAATTTTATACCTCCTAAAAAGCCAAAAACATTCCTTCAGCTAGTGTGGGAAGCATTGCAGGATGTGACTCTAATTATTTTGGAAGTTGCAGCCATAATATCTTTAGGCCTTTCCTTCTATAAACCTCCTAATGCAGAGAGAGAATGTGAGTATCATAGGGATTTTAAGCTCACTATGAATAATATACCTCTGTTTCTCTTGCTCAGTGGTGCTGTTGAATAACAATGAATTTGAAATTGTAACATATCCTGAAGGTGACGTAGTGCTATTATGTATTCAGCTCACTCAGGGCCTCTGTTTTTAGGGGGAAAAAATACTTTTACCTGAGCCCTGCTGTGCATTTAGCCATAAAATCCTGCAAATCATGTTATTTTGTGTTTGCAATTGCACAGTCCTTCACTTCCTTCACACCCTGCTTACCCTGCTTGTAAATGCAACTATGCACCTCAAATATCCCATTAACATTTTAGACATATATTGTTCAAGTGTTTTGGGGTTGGAAAGATTTTTTAAATGTTTTTGAAGGAAGCTTCAAAAACGTATGCTCACCAAGGCTGCATTTATATAAAAAATACAGTAAAAGCAATACTATTGTAAAATATTATTACAACTTAAAATAACTGTTTTGTGTGTTAAGATATTTAAAAATGTAATTTATTCATGTGATGTTAAAGCTGAATTTCAGCAGCCATTACTCCAGTCTTCAGTGTCACATGATCATTTTAATATGCTGATCTGCTGCTCAAGAAACATTTCTTTTATTATCAATGTTGAAAACAGTTGTGCTGCTTAATATTTTTGTGAAAACTGATAAGTTTTTTCAGAATTCTTTGATGAATAGAAAGTTCATAAGAACAGCAATTATTTGAAATAGAAATAATTTGTAACATAAATGTCTACTATCACTTTTGATCAATTTAATGCATCCTTGCTGAATAAAAGTACTATGAAAGTACTAAAAAAAAGAATCTTACTGACCACAAACTTTTGAACAGAAGTGTGTATATATGTAATCTTATATATAATATAAGACTTATACACACAAATTGCTGTAGCAGCTATTTCTTACAATGACTTTCTCATTGGCGCAGTCTGTGGTAGAGCGGCTGGAGGAGTTGAGGACGAGGGTGAGGCAGAGGCGGGCTGGATTGAGGGTGCTGCCATCCTCTTGTCTGTCATTTGCGTGGTTCTTGTCACAGCCTTTAATGACTGGAGTAAGGAAAAGCAATTCCGTGGACTGCAGAGCCGCATTGAACAAGAGCAGAAGTTCACTGTGCTCCGAGCCGGTCAAGTCATTCAGATTCCTGTGGCCGAGATTGTGGTTGGAGACATTGCACAAGTAAAATATGGTAAAATTATAAGATTAAGATGCTTTTAATATATTAAACAATTAAGAATTAGGCTTGACATATTTCTTTAAACTCATATGCTGTTAAATGGAAATGTTTAAAGAATGGTTATGCAGCTCTTGCCATAGACAGACAGTTTATGGTGACCATATCTGTCAAGCTTCAAAAAAGGACAAAAAAAATCTATACTGAGAAAAAAAATGGTGTAGGATTTACTTTCACTTTTTCCATTTAATTGTAGCAAATAAACAAATAAGCTTCAAGTAAGCAAATAAACATGACATTTTAAGGTAGAAAGACTGAAATAGTATTTGAGTCTTGTGTAACATTAATGAACACAACACACCATCTTTTAAATTCTGCATGTGAATGTGCTAGATTAAAGATTCAAGGCAAGTCAAGAATTAAACTGCTTTTTTAGTTCTTTCATTGGTGTTTTTCCTTTTTGGAGCTTGACAGTCATGGAATGAACTGTTGTTGTTTGGAAAATAGCTGTATGAAGATAAATGACAAAATTATCTTTTATCTTGGCTTAACTATTATTTAAAAAAATAATGTTAAAGCATATAAAATAGTTTTTTAGTTTTTGCTTTTTTAGTTGCCATTTGCTGTGCTCAATTGAAAACCTCTCTTTTGGCTTGCTATGCAAACATCTGCCAATTGTGTCTCAGACGACGCCATCTGTCCTTTGCTTTGTGCTTGCAGGTGACCTCCTTCCTGCTGACGGTGTACTAATCCAAAGCAACGTTCTAAAAATTGACGAGAGCTCCCTCACTGGAGAGTCGGACCATGTGAAAAAAACTGTGGACAAAGACCCCATGCTTCTTTCAGGTTTTGCCTCTGCTTTTTTTTAAAAAAGTGACAATAATAGTAGCAATCTAAAGGTCAAGACTGATGCAGTTTTGCCATTGTCATACTTACAGTACCTGGTTACGTGCCCATTTTTGCCCTGTTTGCTCAGGCACGCATGTGATGGAGGGTTCCGGAAAAATGCTGGTCACAGCAGTGGGGGTGAACTCTCAGACGGGAATCATCTTCACTCTCCTCGGAGGCAGAGATGATGATGATGATGACGATGAGGAGAAAAAAGGAGAGAGGGAGAGGAAAAAGAGGGAGAATGAGGAGAAAAAGCGGGAGAAAGAAGAGAAAAAGAAAGAAATGGAGAGGAAGAAGAAGGAGAAGAAAGAAAAAAAGAAAAGTATGTTCCTTAAGATGGGTTTCTGAAACGCATTTCCAAAAGAATTCCTCAAGTATCCATTCAGTTCTAACCAAGTTTGGGTTTTCACTCCAAATTAAACTATTAGTAAATATGCTAACTATTTGAAATGCATTGCTTTGGCCAGGGACTAGATACGTCATTTTAAACATACTCGACAAGGATACTGCAAGAGTCACATCATTTCCAAATGATCAGTATCTATAGAAATCACAGATATCTGATTGATCCATGTCACTTTTTTTAACAGCCAAAAAGCCAGATGCAACAGATAAAAAGAAAGGTGTGTATTAGCACATATGCTGTAACCGTATATCATAGAGTTTCCTTTAGATCAGTGATTCTCAACTGGTGGGTCGTGATGTAAAAATGGGTCACTGTTGTCATGGCTAAAAAAATGTTAAATGCAAATAATAATATGCAGCTAAACATATAATTGGGCATTGCTTCCTGTATCTTTTATTGGTGAATCAACACCAAACGTGGACCAAAAGCAGTTGGTTTTGTGCAAATTCATCTGCTACTTGGATAAATCTAATCAAATTATTCAGGTGTCATACTCTCATTGTCAGAAAACATGAACAAACTATGCAAATGCAACAAAATATGAACCAGACTGCTTCATGGGTTCATGTGCACTTAAGATACATGGTTTGTGTTGGCCACAATTTTTTTTCCCGCAAAAACCCATCTAAATTTAAGAGTAATTTTCAAACCAAATTTGACATTTTCCCTATTCAACCTGTTATATTAATAATTTTGTACATTGATGGGCTTATGTAGTTCATTATTATATTAACACATTTCAGTATTTGATATTAAGTTAATTTTTTGTTACTTTTGTATGACAAAACTAGTTGAGAACCACTGCAGGAACATTACATGAAATAGCAGTCAGTGACATAGTTCAGTCAGTAGTTGATCTTTCAACTAATCATTGTGTGTCTTTCTTTCTTCATGTATTGAGTGTACAAGTTGTGAGAATGTCCTGTGAACATATGGTTGAATCTAGTAGGTAACTGTGCTCTTTTCATACTGATTAGCAGTAAGAAGATTAGGGCCTACAGCTCTGCTTTTTCCTCTTGTCCACATACAAACACATACAGGCAGACACATGCTGTAAATCTCCAGTGCATTTCCTCTTCTTTTTCTCTGCACATGGTTTTAAACAGTTTTTAAGTCTTCTGAAACAACACTTCACAACATAAATAAGAAGTCAGAGTTGGAGTTGTCGCCATTTAGCACAAATATTTTGACATACACAAGCATTCAAAAGTTTGTGGTGACATTGTTTGAAAGTGACTAACAAAATGTTAAATGTTGCAAAAAATTTCTGAAAAAAGTATCACTGTTTTTTTTTATTTAATATAATATACTGTTAAGCAATATAAAGCAAAATATTAAGTTTTCAGCAATGACAATAATGATTTCTGGGTCATGTGACATTGAAGACTGGAGTAATTGCTGCTAAAAATTCAACTTTCCATCACAGAAATAAATAATTTTAAAATATATAAAAATAGAAAACAGTTATTTAAATTGTAATAATATTTCACAATATTACTCTTTTTATTTTGATCAAATAAATGCAGTCTTGGTGAGCATAAGAGACTTCTTTCGAAAACATTAGTCTTACTGACCCCAAACCTTTAAACAGTAGTGTATTGCATTCTGGTGTTCATTTGGGCAATATGACTTAAAATTCTGCTTGCAACATTTCTGACAGCCTAATAAACACTTTAAAAAAGTGAACATGCAGTAGTTACAATAAGAAGGTATTTTGTAATGTAATGATGTTGGGTTGATTCAGTGATATTAAATCATATTTTGACATAAAACTCATTTAAAAGTGCATTTTATGTTACATGACAAACCATTTTTTGGTAAACATTTTTTTTAACAGTTTGATACATGCAATATCATAACCATTTTACAGGACAACATTTATAAAACCGATTATAAGTACATTTAAATTAGATTTATTTTAACATCGCTGGTTTCTGCCTTATTCAGAGAAGGATGGAGGCACAGTGGAGATGGAGCCCCTCAACCGTGATGATGGAACAGAAGAAGAGCCGAAAAAAAACAAGATTCCAAAGAAAGAGAAATCGGTACTTCAAGGGAAGCTTACCAAACTAGCGGTACAAATTGGGAAAGCAGGTAAAAAAATAATAATAATAAAATAAAATAAATAAACATTTTACAGTGTGCAGAACTTTTTCTTTTTGGTCCACTTCATTTGTTTTTCCTTGTATTAAAACTCCAAGAAAGACTTTTAAATGGCTATGTGATGTTCATGTGTGTGTGTTTTTTCCAGGGCTCTTCATGTCAGCCATCACAGTCCTCATTCTTGTGGTGCTCTTTTTGGTGGACACTTTCTGGATTCAGGGGCTTCCCTGGATTAAAGACTGCACTCCTATCTACATCCAGTTCTTTGTCAAGTTCTTCATCATCGGCGTCACTGTGCTGGTTGTTGCCGTGCCTGAGGGTTTACCGCTTGCTGTCACTATTTCATTGGCCTATTCTGTGAAAGTATGTGGTCTGACTTTTTTTTGCAGAAGTTTCATGAGAAACTTGTACATACAAAAGTTGTAAAATCATCTATGTAGTAAAATCATCTGTCATTCCCTGTAGAAAATGATGAAGGACAACAACCTGGTGAGGCATCTGGACGCTTGCGAGACGATGGGAAATGCCACTGCAATTTGCTCTGATAAAACAGGCACCCTAACCATGAACAGAATGACGGTGGTTCAGGTGTATATTGGAGACAGACACTACAAGAAGGTCCCGGAGCCTGATCTGATTCCTGGCAACATCATGAATCTTCTCGTCACAGGCATCAGTGTCAACTGTGCATATACTTCAAAAATAATGGTAACAAACTATATTTTGCCTGAATGTGTACTTTTAAATATACAGAGGCTCCAAAAAAACTGTGACCACAAAATAAATTTTTTTTGGTTACATAGAACTCAGCATAAAAAATTTAAGTGAAGAGTTCATATATTTTTAAATATAATAGATCAAATATATATTTAATTTCTTCAATTTATGTCAGAATTTGTCATTATTTCAAATTCATGTTTGTTTGAAGATTATTTATTTGAATATTTCTTTAAATAAGTTATTATCATTTATTTAAAGATAAATCAATGTGGTTTCAGACTTTTGGACCACACTGTATTTAAACTTTTTTAGTCATCATTTAATGTGATTTATTTTTATTTTTATTTATTTTTAGACTAGACTTGGTTTCATGATTTTGATGAACCCTTTTTTCTGTCTAGCCTGCTGAGAAAGAGGGCGGTCTGCCCCGTCAAGTTGGGAACAAAACTGAATGTGCCTTGCTAGGGTTTACCACTGGATTACGAAAAGATTACCAAGCCATTCGCAATGAATATCCTGAGGAAAAAATGTACAAAGTATACACCTTCAACTCAGTCAGGAAATCCATGAGCACAGTCCTAAAAAATCGAGATGGAAGTTACTGTATGTTCAGCAAAGGAGCATCAGAAATCCTCCTGAAGAAGTAAGTACGCATTTAATATTTCAGGTGATTTGTTATTTGCTAGATAATAATACAGGTGGTATTATTATGGTGAAGGATGTTCTCGTTCAATAGAGCACTTCATTGGTCAAAAAATCTTTATAGTTCAGGTTGAGTCATCAATATTTTAGTCCAGTTTTCCTGGGTAAATAGACCATTTAAAAGTTTGAAAACACTAAAGATGCTGTTACATTAGCAAAATCTCACTGACAAAGAAGGTCTTTTGTCCACTCTCAGTAATATAGTGATGCACAAAGCACCAGTCACACAGAAGTCACTTTCAAACCAAGCACCTTTCTGTTGGTCAACGCACCATATTCACAGGAGAATTGAATGTGAAATCTGCATGGTTCAAAGTTTAAATATGAATGTGAGACTACATACTTGTATCATTAACTTTCCAAAAAGTTATAATACTTTCATAATATTTCATATTTCCCCAGGTGCTGTCAAGTCCTGACAGCTAATGGTGAAGCCAAAGTCTTCAGGCCCATTGATCGGGATGACATAGTGAAAAAGGTGATTGAGCCCATGGCCTCTGAGGGTTTGAGGACCATCTGCCTCGCTTACAGGGACTTCCTTGTTTCGGACGGGGAGCCTGTTTGGGATAATGAGGCAGATATCCTGACTGGACTTACCTGCATTTGTGTGGTGGGCATTGAAGATCCTGTTCGGCCAGAGGTAACTGCTCACTTGACCATTAATAACCCTCCTATTCTATCCACTTTACATGGAAAATATGCATTTGACAGTGAAAACATGCTGAAGTGCTCATTACTATTAGTCAGCATGTGTTTGTTGACACCTAACCCCGGGTGGTATAATCGCCACAGGTCCCTGATGCTATTAAGAAGTGCCAGCAAGCAGGCATCACTGTGCGCATGGTCACAGGGGATAACATTAACACCGCTCAAGCTATTGCAACCAAGTGCGGCATTCTCCATATAGGCGATGACTTCCTTTGCCTTGAAGGCAAAGAGTTCAACAGACGAATACACAATGAACTTGGAGAGGTGAGGTGGTCAAAATAAAAAATGGATCAGTTTTTATTCAAATGAAAGGTTGATATTAAAGGCCTCATCATATTTTCAGATTGAGCAAGAGCGGCTGGACAAGATCTGGCCCAAACTGCGTGTACTTGCGAGATCTTCTCCAACTGATAAGCATACATTGGTCAAAGGTAATGAGTTTTAAAAAGCACTGTTGTTAAAATTGTGGTGACTATTACAGTCTGACTGCAAATAAAATGTTTTGCTGTCTCTTTAAGGTATAATTGATAGCACCATCGTAGAACAGAGACAAGTAGTTGCTGTCACTGGAGACGGAACCAACGATGGTCCTGCGCTAAAAAAAGCTGATGTTGGATTTGCAATGGTAGGACTTTTCAGAATTGAAAAACTTGCTTGTACATCACTATAATAGACCTAACAATCGCAAATGAATATTAAAGTTACAAAAAATAAATAAATGAAAAAAGAAAAGAATCTAGCTATGTTTCAATCCAAGTTGCACATTTAATCTGAATAGACTTTGGTCAGGGTAGTGGCATATTTAATTTTTGACAGGAATGAAAATGAGGCTGTGAGGGTTAGAAGTACAGTGTTTTCAGGGGATTTGTAATGTACTGTAGTTTAACCGATTGTTCAGCTGACACATCATCTTTACAAAGAAACTTTCACTAGAACAGCTTTAAAAGTTGTGAGTTTTGAAATGTACACAGTCTAGTACTTCTGGTATCCCTCACAGCCTTATTTTCATCTGCATAACCGCATGACATTAACTGCATGACATTAAAACACATTTGTGACCCTGGACCACAAAACCAATCTTAAGTCACTGGGGTATATTTGTAGCAATAGCCAAAAAACATTGTATGGGTCAAAATGATCGATTTTTCTATTATGCCAAAAATCATTAGGATATTAAGTAAAGATCCTGTTCCATGAAGATATTTTTTTAATTTCCTACCGTAAATATATCAAAACTTCATTTTTGATTAGTAATATGCATTGCTAAGAACTTCATTTGGACAACTTTAAAGGCAATTTTCTCAATATTTATATTTTTTTTACACCCTCAGATTCCAGATTTTCAAATAGTTGTATCTCGGCCAAATATTGTCCTGTCATAACAAACATACATCAATGGAAAGCTTATTTATTCAGCTTTCAGATGATGTATACATCTCATTTTCAAAAATTTGACCCTTATGACTGGTTTTGTGGTCCAGGGTCACATTTAAGTCATAATGTTAAGAAATGTGCATTGTGCAATAAAGAAATACTCCAAAAAAGTTTAATTATAACTTTATATCAGTAAGTCTTAAGTGATATGTCGATAAATATGTTAATGGATTTGAAGTATACTTACTAAAACTGAAATTAGTGTAGGATTTACTTTGAAGCAAATATCACTAATGGATTGCTAGTCAATTTCACAATTAATTACAAAGAAATGGCAAGTAACACATTGAAATTTTGCTGACCACCGGTAAATGTTACTGTGCATTTAATGTTTCCATCATGCATTTTAATGCAATATTCCAAAATTAGCATGAATGAACTTGGAAAGTTAATGAAATTTGACAGTGACGTGTCATGATCTGTTTTTAGGGCATTGCTGGTACAGATGTGGCCAAAGAGGCATCAGACATTATCCTGACTGACGATAACTTCAGCAGCATAGTGAAGGCAGTGATGTGGGGGAGGAACGTCTATGACAGTATCTCAAAGTTCCTCCAGTTTCAGCTGACGGTCAATGTGGTGGCTGTCATTGTGGCGTTTACTGGAGCCTGTATCACACAGGTCAGACTTCTGCTTCCTCTTTTTCCTGTGCTCAATGCCACCTCATTCTTTCTATTAAATGTTTTGCTTTGTCCAACTCTTCGCATAGGACTCCCCTCTCAAAGCTGTACAGATGCTGTGGGTGAATTTAATTATGGACACATTTGCATCACTAGCACTGGCGACAGAGCCTCCCACTGAGGCTTTACTGTTGCGCAAACCGTATGGTCGTAACAAGCCCCTTATTTCTCGCACCATGATGAAGAACATCCTCGGACATGCTGTATATCAGCTAACCATCATCTTCACGCTGCTGTTTGCCGGTAAGCACCACCCAAAATATCTAGAGTAGGGTTTACCAAATGGTGGTTTGCGAACCCCTGGGGGTTTGTGAGGGATTTGAAAGTTGATGAACGCAACGTGCGCTAAGTTCACTAGGTTCATTTTATTTACACATTCGCATAATTTCCAACATTTTTGTGGGCAGAGGTTTACAACGTTTTAGCAGAATTCTGCCAAAATAAAAACTCATTTAAATATTTAAAGTTTGAAGGTTTGAATGTTTGAAAGTGATTAATTTAATATATAAATATTAGTATTGTAACTATTGTATTGTAAAATAAAATTATTAAAAGGATCAAATATTAATTTTTATTTAACTGTACAATTGCATTTTACAACAGTAATGTTTCTGTCTTCCTTTTTGTAATAAGTTACACAAACATATCATAATTATTATTATTGTTATTATTAATATTATTATTATTATTAGATTGAGTTTCTAAAATGCCAGTTTGAATGTAATGTGGACTGAGACATTATCACAACTAAAAGAAGCTTGAGTCTACTTTAAAGGGATAGTTCACCCAAAAATAAAAATTCTGTAGTATGGAAAAAAAAATAAAAATAATACTATGGAAGTCAATGGGGACCAGCAACTGTTTGGTTACCAAGATTCTGGAAAATATCTTCTTTGGTGTTCAGCAGAATAAAGAAATTCATACAGGTTTGTAACAACTTGAGGGTGAGTAAATTATGAGAGAAGTTTCATTTTTGGGTGAACTATCCCTTTAAAGTACAGCTGCAAAATAAAACACTTTCCTAAAAAAGATTAAATATGACATCAATATCTTCCCAAATGCATGCTAAGCTCACAGCACATGCAGAAATGAAGTTCACTGCATTCACTGTGAACTGAGCCATTCTGAGACGTGGAAAACACCTGATCACAAGCTGATTACGTGAGTAAAGTGTGCACATCGGTTTGAAACACGCAGCACTAACAGGCTTGATAAGGGGATTAAGGTATCTTGCGCTTTCGGCCGCCACAGTCTAGTTAATGAATAGGAAACACTGACTTTTCAAGTAAATCAAGTACATATTTAAGTAAATATTTTACATCCAAGGGGTTTGGCTGACAAAAAATGTTTGGGAAACCCTGATTTGGAGCATCCAGTCAGAGTACACCAGCTATTATATCTCTGATTTATTTCATTTTTTTTCACAGGTGAGCAGATCTTTGACATTGACAGCGGCAGGAACACTCCTCTTCACGCTCCTCCTTCAGAGCACTACACCATTGTCTTTAACACATTTGTGATGATGCAGCTTTTTAATGAGATTAACGCTCGAAAGATCCACGGCGAGAGAAACGTTTTCGAGGGCATCTTCAATAACATGATCTTCTGCTCCATCGTATTCGCGACCTTTGTTATCCAGGTACGTCACATTGTAATCTCTATTAGCCTGTGTCAATTATCAACAATTGTTCTGAATCCCAACATGGTTTTGTTTTTTAGTTCCTAATCGTGCAATTTGGAGGGAAGCCTTTTAGCTGTGTAGGTCTCTCTGTTGAGCAGTGGCTGTGGTGTGTCTTCCTTGGCTTTGGCTCTCTTCTCTGGGGGCAGGTATAGGCCTTGAAAAGCATTTGAACTCTTTTTGAAATGATGCACTGGATGATGTATTGTTTTTCTCACCTCCGGCCCACAGTTGATTTCCACAATTCCCACAAGTCGCCTGAAGTTCCTGATGACAGCGGGTCATGGCACTCAGAAGGAGGAGATCCCTGAGGATGAGCTGGAGGAGATGGAAGACCTGGATGAAATCGACCACGCTGAAATGGAGCTGAAAAGGGGGCAGGTTCTGTGGTGCAGGGGTCTCAACAGAATTCAAACACAGGTACTCAATGAGGTTTCTTTCATTTCATACCTTACATCCCAAGTTTGATTTGATTTTTATAAATAAAAAAAAAATTATATATGAAGGTGACATTAAACGTGTCTTTTGGACTTTTTCTCATGTCTTTTGCTATTTTTTAAATGTTTTAAATGTATAGATTTTGTCCCAGGCCCAGTTTATCAATTTGAAAATATAAGTCCATCATAATAATAGTGAGAGTGCATGCTAAACTATAATTTAAACAAAAATCAGATTTTATTACATCAGGTAAATGCAGCCTTGGTAAGCATTAGTATTCACTTATTGCCAAAATTCTAAATGGTTGAATGTTACTGACCTCTTATTTCCATTTGGTTTTGATGCTCTTTCTTCAGATCCGTGTGGTTAATGCTTTCCGGGATTTCATGTCCCCTTACGAAGGCCTGGAGACGCCAGAGTCTCGCAGTTCCATTCACAATTTCATGAGCCACCCAGAGTTCCGTATTGAGGATTCAGAGCCAGCCATCCCTCTCATCGATGACACAGACCCTGAGGAGGATGCACCTACTATACGAAACACAGCTCCTTCCCCACTGCCTCCAGTTTTATCCCCTAATCAGAACAACAATGCAAGCGACAATAGAGGCTTCCATCAGCACAAAGATATAGCCAAAACTATCCTTTCTCCGACTCCTGGAAGCCCAATGCACAGTCTGGAAACCTCTCTATAATCTGCTACCACCCTATGTCAGACCACGTCAACAACCGAGGACACATTAAGGACATGGTCAAGGCTTCTGAGCCTTTGATAGTGAACTGGAAAAGCAGCAAAACTTGTTTTACTTGTTTTTTAAATGTGTTTCATGGGGGTTTGTTTCATTCTTTTCGTATTTGGCCTGCACACCCTGAAAGTGAATGGTTTGGGGAATTAACGGTGTTGCTCAAATGTTCAAATTCTTTCCACTTATGTTTTGCTCATTCAATTATTTTGATATAAGGTGTTTTGGCTGTTCATATACTGTAGGTAAAAATGTTTGAGCAGTTTTTGGACAAGTTCTTATTTTGGATGCAAAAGGTTCACATGTAGTTGCTGCTCTGTTTAATTGTGAGCAAACACTTTTTGAAGGTGCACTATTTGCCTCTAAATCAGTTTTTATTTTGATTTTTAGAAAGCTAGGAAAAGATGCAATGCCTCTACATTTTTAAAGGGGTACGGTTCAGTGTTGCCAAGTCCGCGGTTTTCCCGCGAATTGGGCTACTCTAACACTGTTTCCGCGGGTAGTTTTTCATGTCCGCGGGTTTAAGCGGCCACAAGAACGTGATATTTAGCCCCTAAAATGCGAATTTTACCAGGGTAACCCAGCCATAAAACGCGATTTTTACCGGGGGACCCCCCTCGAAACGCAATTTGGCTAGTTTTTGAATAGCAATTGGGTGGGTTTTGTTGTGAAACCCTGGCAACCCTGGTACGGCTGTATGGTAAAATACATTAATTATGGGCCTCTTATTTCATGAAATGTAGCTTGACTACACTTGCAAAAATGGCATATACAAGGTGTATTAAGGGAATGAAATGTTAACTGGTTTACAGTGGTACATTGTGCTCATTTTTTATTATTATTATTTTTTTTAAATCAACCAATGATGAAGGCAATGCTAAAATGTAGCAGTGTATTTTCTGTTTAGAGTGTTTTATCAGTTTTGATCCACCCTACCTCCTTAAACCACAGACGAGGACTCGCTACGCAAGTCCCACGAAACACACTACGCAAGTCCCACGAGTTTGTCGAGATGCAGTTTTATTCATTATTGTGATGGTAATATGAAGTACTTTTATTTTTTACTGCAGATATTATTCCTTGTGGGGATATGTTAATGGTTTCAACAGAATGTTATAGGATTTGTTACAGAAATGTATACACAGTAAACAATACAAGATTAGTAAAAGAAAATAGGAAAGAACTGGAGAGAATTTGTGGGTAATTTTTTTTTTCACTAGTTTCATTCCCATTTTGGGAATGAATATTTTTCCATCAGTGTTAAATGTATTTATTTATTTGTATTATTATTATTATTATTTTTTTTTAAGATTTATTTTTTGGCATTTTTGCCTTTATTATGATAGGACAGTGAGTAGACAGGAAGCAAAGTGGGACAGGATAGATGGTTATGGAATATAATTTTGTAAATATAAATGGTTATTGTGGTTTAATTTACATTTGGAAGTCTTTAAATAATGTTTATGGTTTTTGACAATAAAATATTAATATTTAGCTTAACCTAATCATTGGTTTTAATTTGAATCTTATCATATATATAATATGACAATAATATTATTACATTATTACTTTAGCATACTTAACAAATCATGTGCATTAAAATAATCAGAAATGTCCTTTCTTCATATATTTTCATATGAATATTTAAATATACATGAACCACTGATTTCTTAAGCATTAAATGTTAGTGTCTTGTTCAGTAATATTTGAAATGTTAGGCTACTCATTAATAAAAAAATAATAGCATAAACATAGTCATACACATTATCAATTCAATTGTTATTCATTTTAACATGGTATATTAATGGTCGTTTTATTTTTATTTTATTTTTATTTTTTTTTTATGCTCTTTTTATTTATTTTTTTCTGCGCAACGTCAACATGACGATTGCTGCGTTCCGGAAACTTGCTCCACCAATCCTGTCGCAGCATTTGTGTCACGTGATCTTCGAAAGCAGACTGACCACGAAATTTGAAATGTGGAAACAGATCGCTAGTGCGTGTTATTTATTGTGAACATTCAACACTGCGATTAATAAATAGCACCCGAGAGCTTTGTCTAACAAACAGTAAGTATTTTTGGTTGTATTAAATGTTTATAGTCTGTTTTAAGATCAAATAAGAATATGATCGTTGAGTAAACCGTATGAATGTATGAGCTCCATGACTTGTATTATGTATATGTTGGCTATTAGACTAAAAATGCTCTTTTCGAGAATCGTTAGTTTTATTCGAGTATTTTAAACTAAATTTGGGTTAAATGTACTTGCTGATGTCTCAAACGTGTAGTAATCAAAAGGGGGAACCACATTAACTGTGAACTGATGTTAGCAGGACTTTGGCCTCCATTTGTTTTCCTGGCTGAAGATGGCATCTCTCACTCACAGTGGTAATCATCTTTTTATCTAATCACAATATCTCTAAACTACCCTTACAAAAATTACTGCAGTGGTACCATGGTACAGTGATTCTAGCAGATAGTAATACCATGGTTAACCATGGTAAAAACACTAACACGGTACATGTCCAAATCACCAACAACAGTTTTAATTGTGTAGAAGTGTACTGTAACAACACAGAAAATAAACTGATTTCTTTTTTTTTTACTTCTAGATTTTGTTTCACTGGCTGAGGAGAAATTTGACTTTGATGTTTCATTGTCACCTGAAAGGTTTGTTTTAAATGTTCAATATGTTCAAGGCAGTGTTGTTATTGTTGACTAAACCTATTAAAAATCATTTTTGTTGATTGAAAAAAAGCTGAAATGAAATCAAATATAAATATTGATGAAAAACCAAACTTAAAACCCGAAAATTAAACTTAAAAAACTGAACTGACTACAATCAGTGCTACAGTTACTAAAATAAAATTAAAGCTAAACAGAACTATAAACAATAAATAAAACTAATAAAAATGACAAAAGCACATAACAAAATGACTAAGACTTGATCTAAAGTTAAAATGAGTACTTAAAATATCAAAATAAATCAATTTCATTTTTATATGATGAACAGATTTAATTTGGTTAAATGGTTTGGTTTGGAATGACATGAGAGTGAGTAAATTATGAAAGAATTTAAATTTTTTGCTTATTATTCCTTTAATCTGCATTATACAATGTGAATTATAATGTTGATTTAATATTTTATGATGATAAACATCATGTGGAAATGTTCCCTCATAGCTTCAAAGGAGATTACGAGGTTGAGGATGAGGTTTTCATGGGTCCAATCAGTCATAAAGAGAAATGCATTTCTCATGGAGTGGAGATTCATGTGAAGGACAGTATAAGCAGCGGCCTGTCTCTGGGAGAAGAGCCCAGCTGTCCAATCAGTCATAAAGAGAAATGCATTTCTCATGGAGTGGAGATTCATGTGACGGACAGTATAAGCAGCGGCCCGTCTCTGGGAGAAGAGCCCAGCTGGAGTCCGCTTACAGGAGAGAAGTTTGATGAAATCTGCAAAGAAGCTCAGCTACTCGCCAGCCACCTCGAGCAAACGGTCACAGATTCTGTAGCTGAGAGCAGCGTTGTTTCCTCAAGCCAAGCCGAGGAGACCGAGACGTTTGAGGAGGACACCACATTCAAACTGAACATGTTTAGCAAGCCAGCTGATGTTCTGAGTCCCATCAAAAGAGAAACCTTTCTTGTGCAGGACAGCCCGATGAAGCAGCTTCCACCTGCCATTCAGAAGCGTATGCTGAAGTCTAACGGGACGGCTGGGTTTGGTAAACCACGTCTCAGTACATCAAGTCCAGTCAGGCCTGCTGTGACACAGCCTAAGATGGCAACTAGAGGCAAAGCCCTTATGGCTAGTAGTGGGGTGTTACCCAGCAAACCCACAGCACAAGGGAACTCACGACTTTCCTCCAGCACCAAACTGCCAGCGGCTACTAAAACTAGGCTTCATCCTCCCAGCAAAGTATGAGCACTTCCCTCTATTTATTTAGATTGTTAGTGTTTAACATTAAGATTTACTTTGGGTGTATCAATGTTTTTCAGGGTAATTTTAGGCTAAAGCGCAGTCCCAGCAGTAGAAACACAAGTAGAGCTGGTTCTTCTGAAGACCTTCTCTCCGATAACACCAGTGTTGCTTCTGATGTCAGTGATTCTTCCTTTAACAGTAGTTTGCCAGGAAGAAGCAGCATTCCGGCCCGGAACAAGGTAAAAGGAGCTGCCACTGTTGTATCTTATTTTCTTTAAAAACCTTTGATTATACAGTTATATAACTGTTGATAATACAAAAAACAGTATTGTTGTGAAATAATATTGCAATTTAAAAAAAAAAAAGTTTTCTAATATATTTTAAATGTGATTTATTCCTGTGATGGCAAAGCTGAATTTTCAGCCACCTTTACTCCAGTCTTTAGTGTCTCACATGATCATTCAGAAATCATTCTAATATGCTGATTTGCTGCTCAAGAAACATTTCTGAGAACAGTTCAAATTGTAGAAACTGTGATAGACTTTGATTAATAGATAGTTCAAAAGAACAACATTTATTTGAAAAACTGAATTTTTGTTGTATTAATGTTTTTCTCTCCGTTTTGATCAATTTAATACATCCTTGTTGAATAAAATTTATTTCTTTTTTTTTTTTTAAATGTACTGACCCCAAACTTTCAAACTGTTGTGTAGGTTGTTATTACAATGTACAGTAGACTTATTTTGTCATTTAGTGTACTACCAAAATAAGAGGATGTATGACATGGTTGATATTACAGATAAACCTTTTTTATGTATTTAAACATTTTTCTATATCATTTAGACAGAATTGCGAGCTCCAGCTGTTCTTAAAGCTCCTTCCCTTCAGAACTCAAGAGTTGTAGACAGGAGAAGAAACACTTCATCCTCTTCCTCATCTGTGTCCAGCATCAATTCTAGTCTAACTATCTCTCCAGGAAGTAAAGGTGACCCTTCATACCTTTATCATCAAATAACACTAAAAATTAATTTTTTATACTGTACCTTATAATGTTGTGATGCCTAAATCCACATTTAAACGTATTTGTTTTGTGTATTTAATTTTTATTTTTTTAGGTTTCAGTTTTTATGGATATCGGCTATTATTAATTGTTTACAAGACCATAAACATGTATTTAAAAAGTAAATGGTGTTGATTTTGATTTCATTTTGACTTTAAAATGCAAGTGATGTACCTGAAAGATTGTTGGGTATCTACTGCCATCTGCTGGTTAAGTTAACATATCTCAACTCCTCCTCTCACCAGCCAAACTTAATTCCTCCCTAAACTCCAGCACTAACAGCATCGGTGCTCGTTCACGCAGCAGCATGAGCAGGTTGCCAAGTTCTAGCCGCAAATCCTCTGTTGTTACCAGAAACCCAGAGCCCCCCGTCAGCAGACGGACCTCCATCTCTACACAGAGGAGGAGGACATCTGAACTCCTTCCCAGACCTGTTAGAGCTACACCCATTAAAAAAACAGACCCATTACCACCTCCACAGCTTCAGACCCCAGCAAAAAATAGAGGTGAAAAGACCGCCTCTACATCCAGCATCCCTGCATCTGCTGCTAAGATGGGTAGTGCTCTTAGAGGAAACCCCAAACTCAAGGTCCCAGTGGTGAAAACACCCACAAACTACCTGAAAGGAGTTCGCAAATCAGAGGGTGAGAAAAAAACATAGTCATGTTAATTAATAGGAATTGCTAGGATGAATCTCACTAAACCTGTTAAGAAAAAATTATACATATTTAGCATATGGGAAATGAAGCCTCTTAAGATTTTTTGGTCCCACTTTATATTAAGTGGCCGTAACTACTATGTACTTATATTTAAATGAATCATTTGGTACAATGCACTTATTGTGTACGTACATGTATTTACATTGTACTTATATTTGAAAAATATCTGCTTGTAATTACATCTGTAATTACATTTATAATTACACTGTTGACCATCCTTTACAACTTAACCCACCCTTAAATCTACCCATACCACCAAACCTGTCCCTAACCTTACCCGTTTCCCACCTCAATAGCAGCAAAAGTGTTTTGCAATACAATATGAACACAATCAGTACATTGTACTTATTTTTTGATGTAAGTACATAGTAGTTAAGGCCACTTAATATAAAGTGGGACAGATTTTTTTTCTTTGATTTTTTTTTTTCATGGTAGACATTGGTTTCTACAAATTATCTTTATCATAAGGAAAAAATATATAAATTCGGGGAAAATATTTTAAAATAAATACTATATAAATACTAAGTGTATATATATATATATATATATATATATATATACACACTTATATATATATATGTACACAATTAATAATTGTAATTAATTCTTAAAACTCTTAATTATTTTACTTGCGTAATACAGCATACAGTCTTTAATATAAAATATATTATTTTATATTATTACAAAATATAGCATAATATTTAGTTTTGATATTTCTATATTTAGCATAATTTATGTAACAATAAATAATATAATTTAAATATTCTATCATGGTAGTATTTGTTGCAACACCTTATATTTACTCTGATTTAAATGACTATTACAGTAATGCAAAAAAACAACCTAAAACTAAAATTTTAAATAATTTTTTTGAAAATCTGAATGGTCCTACAAAGAGGAATACATTTTTGCAGAAATACAGAATTTACTGCACTAATTCTTTTATTTTGATTTTGGGGTGAAATGTGACTTGAACATGTTTTCGGGAGATTTAACCAGGACATTACTGTATTATTAAGCCATACTAACTTCTGTTGATTTTATAGTTTCCTCCTCGCCTGACGTCCCTCGTATCATGAAACCAAAGAGATTATTGTCTGCATGCAGTGTGGAGAGGTAATATTGTCATGTATTCTCATAACCTTTCATTTCTTTTGAAGGATTGTCTTAACTTTGACATGTCTTTGCAGTATTCCTGATCATCTAGTCGGTCCTCCAGTTGGCCTCCTGACGCCCTCAGCTATGGGCAGTAAACTGCGGAGACCCTCAGCTCTTCCCACTCCAGTCAACCGGCGGATCTCTGGCATCCCTGCACTCACACCCAAGAGTGTGACACGTCTGAGTAAACCTTCCCAGGTCACAGAGCACTCATCGGCCTCCAGCCAAACGGCCACTCATTCAAGGTGCTAATTTTGCCCCTAAAACTAATTCTTTGAGTTTTTAAGGAACTTAATAGTGCAACAAATTATCTCCATTGTTCTACAGCTTATCACAATCTCTTTATATGTATAAATCTAAGTCGAACTTTATTTGTACAGCCCTGAAAACATGAAAGAAAGTGAGAATCAGGAAGATAAGCGAATTTTAGTGACCAGTGAGGAGACCTGCCCTCCAGCTGACCTCCAGCCCTGCTCCCTGGTCTTTAATATGGAGGATGAGCCTGAGGAACCTCCTCCCTGTGAGCCAGCAGCTGTGGAGAATCCCTCTGAGCCGCCTTCATGTGATCCAGAGCCTCTTGAAGTCGACATCAAACCCCCAACTCTTCCAAGCACAGTGGACACCCAAAAACACCTGCAGAACACAGAGAAAAAGGAAGTTAAAGAGGTGAAATAAACTCTATTTGAAGTGATTTTTAAATGACATGCATTAGAAGAAAACGTCAACAGATCTGAAAATGTTACAATTGTAGGTTTTGCTTGTGGACGCACCTGCACCAGCACTTCAGCTGACAGAAAAGATGCTAATTGATCTCTCCAATACCCCAGGCCTGATCAAAACCTCTGGAAAGCCCTGGGGAGGACAGGTGAGACGAAAGATTTTATATATATATATAAACACTACCGTTCAAAAGGTTGGGGTCGGAAAGATTTTAATGTTTTTAAATAAGTCTCTTATGCTCACCAAGGCTGCATTTATTTGATCAAAGAGCAGCAAAAACAATAATATTGTAAATTATTATTGCAATTTAAAATGTTTTCTATTTGTATTTATTTTTAAATACAAATTATTAATTAATTACTGCAGTCTTCAGTGTCATATGAGCCTTCAGAAATCCTTCTAATATGCTGCATTTCTTTTTATTAACAATATTGAACAGTTGTGCTGCTTTATATTTTTCTGGAAACCGAGATGCGTGTTTTTTTTTTCAGGATCCTTAGATGAATAGGAAGTGTAAAAAACAGCATTTATTTGAAAGAAATATGTTACTTAGAACATTATAAATGTCACTTTTAATCAGTTTAATGTGTCCTTGGTGAATAAAGGTAGTAATATCTTTTTTTCTTTTTTTTTTACGGTAATGTACATACTCATATTTCTTCATTCAAGTACTTATACTGTTTATTTCAATTGGTTTGTAATTATTGACACTCTTTTCCTGTAGTTAATTGACCTGAGTTCACCTCTTATAAAGTGGAGTCCAGAGGACAAGAACGAAAATGCTGAGAATGCGGCTCCACTGATCGACTTGTCTTTTTAGAGGACCTGCAAAATTTACTGTGAACTGTGCCAAGAAAAAAGAATTAACTGGAGCGTTTCATACTGTTGAAATTCATTTCAAGAGGGAGCATGGATGATGCTGCTGTGCTTTATTAGCCTTTGTGCTTTTATTTGTGTTGTCTGTCCTTCGTGATTGTAATTATGGTGATTTGCAGTATTTTTAAAATGAAAGTTGTTGTATTTCTCCCAAAACGTACAAAATAAATGTTACATTTACAACATCAGCCATTACTTTTGTTTTTTTGGTAACATTTTAAGAAATATATCACACACAAACCTCCTCCTATACAGTAGGGGGCGCTATGTATTTACTGTTTTCAGACTTGGCATCTGAAGTATAGAAGAAGACGCCCAAAGAGCGGCAGCATCGTTTAGCAAATTCGATGTTTACTTCGACCACTAAATTAAAAATGCACTTTGCTTGATAATTTACCTTAATATATTTGTGCATCTTAAATTGTGATGTAAAAATGTCAACGCTTGTCTTAGACAATGGTGCGAACTTCGCTAAAATCGGGTACAGTCATGAGAAAGTCAGGTAACGTTACGGTCTTTTTATTATGTCTTCCCTTATTGTTCAAAATTATTTTATGGTCGTTATATTGAGCTAAATGCAGAATATTATTTTCCAGTAGCGTTATCCCAAATTGCCAATTCCGTTCGAAGACCTCTAGGCTGAAAACATTCACTGCCAATCAGTTGGATGAAATCAAAGACCCGTCCGGACTCTTCTATATCCTCCCGTTTCAAAAGGTATGGCCTCGATATGAATTATAAACTTCACTGCATGCTGTATAAAGCGACTTACTTAATCTCTTTTGCGTCTATGTCAGGGGTATCTTGTAAACTGGGATGTGCAGCGCAAAGTCTGGGATCATCTGTTTGGAAAAGATATGTTTAAGGTACTTGAATAATTACAAACATATCACGTTTTATGAATGTACAGTATGAGATATTCAGCCTGTTTGCAGGTGGACTTTGCGGATACCAACATTGTGATAACAGAACCGTACTTCAACTTCAGCTCAATTCAAGATACTATGAATGAGATTCTATTTGAAGAATATCAGTTCCAGTCAGCACTCAGAATTAATGGTATGTTTAGTGTACTAGGATTCAGCCATAGGATTCTATAAGTATTTATTCTATAAATCTGATGATTTCATTTCATTTTTCAGCTGGATCTTTGAGTGCTCATCGATACTTCCATGAGAACAACTCTGAGCTGTGTTGCATTGTGGTGGACAGCAGCTTCTCCTTCACACACATTGTTCCTTATTGCAGGGGAAGAAAGATGAAAGAGGGCATTTGCAGGTGAGCTGCTAATTAGCCTAATATAATTCTATAAAGTTCTATAAGCGCTGAAGATCTTTTTATAAATCTCTTTGCACTTCCTAGGATAAATGTTGGAGGAAAGCTTCTCACCAACCATCTGAAGGAGATCATTTCATACAGGTAGGCTTTGCTCCATTTAAGTAAGTATATTCTTTGTCAGTTCTTCCTTACAGCAGATTTCTCCTTGAGCTTGTGACAATTTTGTCTTAAAGGCAGCTGCATGTGATGGATGAGACTTATGTGATCAATCAGGTCAAGGAAGATGTGTGTTATGTGTCACAAGATTTCTACAAGGACATGGAGATTGCACAGTAAGTTTGTATCAACTGGATTGTTGTGCGTATATACATATACACCCACAAGCACACAAAAGTAATACTTTTATTCAGCAAGGATGCATAAAACTGATCAAAAACATTTAGAATTTTACAAAACATTTCTATTTCAAATAAATGCTGTTCTTTTGAACTTCCTTATATAAATTTAATTCAAAAATCTTTTGGATAGTGTATAGTATATTTCATTCTGGTGATTTCACAGATTGAAAGGTGAGGATAATACAGTTATGAGAGACTATGTGCTGCCGGATTTCAGCTCTATCAAAAAGGGATTTTGCAAGGTAAGCAATTTAGTGTATAACAGTTCGAAAATGCTGCGCCTTATTTTTGTAAGAATTATGTCATGGTTCGAAAATGGCATACTATAAAAAATTGAAACAGTACTTGCTTTTTTACTTATCCAGCAATTTGTTTTTCTTTATGTGCTGTAGCCTAGAGAGGAGATGAATTTTACTGGCAAATATAAAACTGCGGAGTTTCTACAAGGACATGGAGATTGCACAGTAAGTTTGTATCAACTGGATTGTTGTGCGTATATACATATACACCCACAAGCACACAAAAGTAATACTTTTATTCAGCAAGGATGCATAAAACTGATCAAAAACATTTAGAATTTTACAAAACATTTCTATTTCAAATAAATGCTGTTCTTTTGAACTTCCTGTTCATCAAAGTTTTCTGAAAAAATGTATCGCGGTTTCCAGTAAAATATTTAGCAGCACAACTGTTTTAAACATTGATATAGGAGATGGGCATACCTGAGGCTTTGGTCAACTCCATTAACAACATGCCGGAAGGTAGGTTGAGTCTCATTAGATGTATGTGTGGTTTAAAATGTTAAAACATTAAAAGTACTCTAATATAAGGCTCTTTTTATTTCCAGAGATGCAGCCCCACTTCTACAAGAACATTGTTCTTACTGGCGGCAACACCTTGTTCCCTGGATTCAGAGATCGGGTTTACACAGAAGTCCGGGCACTCGCTCCTGTGGAGTATCAAGTTTCTGTCGTTCTGCCACAGAAGTATGTTTTGAGGGTTCCGAAAGAATGATTGACATTCAAATTTTGTTAACTATGTAGACTGAATATCTGTCTTTTCTTCCCAGTCCTATTTGTTACCCATGGGAAGGAGGAAAGTTATTGGCTGAAAACCCTGACTTTGAAGAGATGGTGGTCACACGAGAGGATTATGAGGAAAATGGACATTATGTGTGCGAGGAGAAGTTTGATATTTGATGCATACGAATTGTCTGTCATTTTGTACAGAAAAATTGAACACTGCACATGTTTTGTATGAAAACTAAGCTGTACATTGGCGTACTATATATTACACTCAATATTACTCAAGTCAATAGGCCTTTTGACTTTAAATGTAATAATTTCGTTGTTTTCAGCCTTTTTTTAAAGAACTTTTTGTATATATTATATTAAGATGTGAACTGGAGAAACAAACGTATTTTTATTTACTGTTGTATTTTTTTACTGAATCCAGTTGATTATATGATAAATAATATGTGACCCTGGACCACAAAAGCAGTCTTAAGTCACTGGGGTATATTTGTAGCAATAGCCAAAAATACATTGTATGGGTCAAAATGATTGATTTTTTTTTATGCCAAAAATCATTAGGATATTAAGTAAAGATCATGTTCCATGAAGATATTTTGTAAATTTCCTACTGTAAATATATTAAGACTTAATTTTTGATTAGTAATATGCATTGCTAAGAACTTCATTTGGACAACTTTAAAGGTGATTTTCTCAGTATTTAGGTTTTTTTTGCACCCTCAGATTCTAGATTTTCAAATAGTTGTATCTCAGCCAAGTATTGTCCCATCCTAACAAACCATACATCAATGGAAAGCTTATTTATTCAGAATTATTTAAAATAAAAAAGACCCTTATGACTGGTTTTGTGGTCCAGGGTCACATATATGTTTACGTTAAAGACTTGACTAGCCTAATATTTTATATTATGAAGTGCCTCTTTGATCATTAATATGAGGCACGTGAGTTGCGCGCGGTAAATCATCCTCGCGCTCAAAATAAAAACAGCGGGAAATCGCTTGAGAGACGGGAGTTCAAACTCATCAAACATTCTTGTTGGTTTAAATAAATTACAGTATTTTATAATAATTTCTCTAAATACTTGCAGCGTAATAACATACAGTAGTGGAAGTAAATACATTTTGGATCGTTTTCTAGACTGCCGTGATTGGTTATAGAGAGATCACACACTCGTCAGGTAAGTTAACGTTACAGATGATTCTGTGGAGAATTTATAAAGTAGCTTTTTTGTGAATAAAAATCGTTTTATATAAGATGGTATCTTGTTTAAATCGTTTTCAAATAATTTAATTCATTAAAAATAAGCTGAAATCATGATTGATGAGACGTTACAAGAATGTCAGTTTTTCATTCTTCTGAATAATTATTTAATTTGACAAGTTGGAGTTTGTATTTTGTTGCTGCTTGTATTTAAATAGACCAGACTACAGCAAAATACACTTCATACAGTGAGACTATGGCAGCTTCCGGGAAAAAACAGAACAAGAAGACCAAACACACTGACAGCGCCACAGACCTGAAAGCCTTTGGCTTCGACACTCTGGAGGAAAAGAAAGGAAGTGGATCTGACGATGATACGAGAGATGGTATGCCTGTGTATTCTATCATACCCGTTACAAAAAGATAATTGGTGGTACCATAGTAAAGTGATGGCAGTAGAGGTTATACCATGAGATAGATATACATGGTATTTCAAGGCAATTAGAAATATGTGAATTTATTAACGGTAATAAAAGAGATATAATAATATTAAAGAATTATATTGAAATGATATAAGTATATAATTTGCAATTTAATATGAATTATTTAATAAGTCTATATATACATATAACAAGTGGTGTAGCTGTGAAGCTTGTTTGTATGTTGTTCTCATTTTGTTATATTACATTAGAAACTCCAATCACTGACAAGCTGATCAAGAAAAGATCTGCAGATACATTTGATGATGATAACCTTAATGCAGGCGTGGGGTAAGTACTGAGATATATACACCTGGCCAAAGTTATGAAGCCCTTTCTCTGAATCGAGAAATCGTTTGTTGTCCTTTATCCCAGGAATGAGGTTCAAACTATGCTGGAAAGATTTGGTGGTAAGTGAAGCTCATATCTGATGCTTCCAGTGATAATAAAATAATATTAGCCTATATTTCTGAATAAAGGTCCCTAAATGTTTGCTAAATGAATATCGCCGGCTGTTAAATGCTGTTTTATACTCATAAACATGCCTGAATGGCCATTTAGCGGACATCAGCAAAGCCATGCAGACCAAAAGGAAACGCTTGGAGGTTCTCACCAAAAACTCCCTAAAGGGCAGCACTCAGAAACTGGAGCAAATGTGGAAATCCCAGCAAAATCAGAGGTGAATCAATGCACTGTATGGAAAATGACACGTTCTTCTTTATTCACTCCTGCTTTGATGTTCAAAAACATAAATGTTTTGTATTTTTTGCAGGCAAACGCTGACACAAGATTATTCTCAGCAAGTTCTCTCTGTGCTTCAGCACTGGGGGACCGATGTTCAGAAATCTGAGGAGCAGGAGGAGAAACTGAATGTAAGTGCCAGACATATAAAAATGTAGCCAAGAAGTTGTAAAAGTTGAAACATGTCCTTTTGGGGCACGGCATCACATTAAGGGAAAGGAAACGTTATGAGGATTAATGGTCTTGTGAAAAATATAATGCAACTTTCTGGGATATCTAGCAGCCATTTAGAGATATTTGCCATAAACGTCTCACACTTTGCCTTTGAACTTCCTAATTTCTGTTTTCACAGAATTTGTTTCGGCAGCAGCAGAAGCTCTTCCAGCAGGCGAGGGTTGTGCAAAACCAGAAAATAGACCAGACTACAGCAAAATACACTTCATACAGTGAGACTATGGCAGCTTCCGGGAAAAAACAGAACAAGAAGACCAAACACACTGACAGCGCCACAGACCTGAAAGCCTTTGGCTTCGACACTCTGGAGGAAAAGAAAGGAAGTGGATCTGACGATGATACGAGAGATGGTATGCCTGTGTATTCTATCATACCCGTTACAAAAAGATAATTGGTGGTACCATAGTAAAGTGATGGCAGTAGAGGTTATACCATGAGATAGATATACATGGTATTTCAAGGCAATTAGAAATATGTGAATTTATTAACGGTAATAAAAGAGATATAATAATATTAAAGAATTATATTGAAATGATATAAGTATATAATTTGCAATTTAATATGAATTATTTAATAAGTCTATATATACATATAACAAGTGGTGTAGCTGTGAAGCTTGTTTGTATGTTGTTCTCATTTTGTTATATTACATTAGAAACTCCAATCACTGACAAGCTGATCAAGAAAAGATCTGCAGATACATTTGATGATGATAACCTTAATGCAGGCGTGGGGTAAGTACTGAGATATATACACCTGGCCAAAGTTATGAAGCCCTTTCTCTGAATCGAGAAATCGTTTGTTGTCCTTTATCCCAGGAATGAGGTTCAAACTATGCTGGAAAGATTTGGTGGTAAGTGAAGCTCATATCTGATGCTTCCAGTGATAATAAAATAATATTAGCCTATATTTCTGAATAAAGGTCCCTAAATGTTTGCTAAATGAATATCGCCGGCTGTTAAATGCTGTTTTATACTCATAAACATGCCTGAATGGCCATTTAGCGGACATCAGCAAAGCCATGCAGACCAAAAGGAAACGCTTGGAGGTTCTCACCAAAAACTCCCTAAAGGGCAGCACTCAGAAACTGGAGCAAATGTGGAAATCCCAGCAAAATCAGAGGTGAATCAATGCACTGTATGGAAAATGACACGTTCTTCTTTATTCACTCCTGCTTTGATGTTCAAAAACATAAATGTTTTGTATTTTTTGCAGGCAAACGCTGACACAAGATTATTCTCAGCAAGTTCTCTCTGTGCTTCAGCACTGGGGGACCGATGTTCAGAAATCTGAGGAGCAGGAGGAGAAACTGAATGTAAGTGCCAGACATATAAAAATGTAGCCAAGAAGTTGTAAAAGTTGAAACATGTCCTTTTGGGGCACGGCATCACATTAAGGGAAAGGAAACGTTATGAGGATTAATGGTCTTGTGAAAAATATAATGCAACTTTCTGGGATATCTAGCAGCCATTTAGAGATATTTGACGTAAACGTCTCACTCATGGCCTTTGAACTCCCTAATTTCTGTTTTCACAGATCTTGTTTCGCCAGCAGCAGAAGCTCTTCCAGCAGGCGAGGGTTGTGCAAAACCAGAAAATGAAAACCATCAAAGACCTGTATGAGCAGTTTGTCAAGGTCACAGATGCCGTCATCACTTTAATTAATTGAAATTGAACCAAGACCTTTTTTCATCATTTGGCTGACCGAGTGAGGTCTTTAATTTGTGTGCAGAACATGGAGGAGATGGAGAAAAGCCATGAAGCCTTCCTGCAGGGCACCCAGATGGAGCTGAGAAAGGAGATGACCCTGCTGCAGAAGAAGATAATGATGGACACAGTGAGTGCTTTAACAAAAAGATTTCACAGTTTAGACCAGGGGTGCCCAAACTCGGTCCTGGAGGGCCGGTGTCCTGCAGAGTTTAGCTCCAACTTGCCTCAACACACCTGCCTTCAAGTTTCTAGTATGCCTAGTAAGAGCTTGATTAGCTGGTTCAGGTGTGTTTAATTGGGGTTGGAGCTAAACTCTTCAGGACACCGGCCCTCCAGGACCGAGTTTGGGCACCCCTGGTTTAGACTCTGGGTATTACAAAGGTCTGCTTTAAATAGCCTTTCAGTGTGAAATGTGAGGAATGCTACATTTTCAAGACAGGCTTGGTTTAGTTGTTAGAGCCCATTTATGAAAAAAAAAACTGACAGAATTTCTGTAAATAGTTAATAAAACCATTTTACACAGATTGTATATTCAGATCAATGTAATAATTTATGTAAGAATGGTGATAATCATGATAATTGCACGTTTTATTTTATTTTTACAGCAACAACAGGAGATGGCCACTGTTCGGAAGTCCCTCCATTCCATGCTGTTCTGAAAACATCTTTCTGTTCTTATGTCGCCATTGTAGAAGACTTAACCTTATGTTCTAAAAGGAAGGTTTGTTTTATTGAAAATTTATGTAGAAGGTCTGTATTTTATTTTTTTTTTACATCACTTTGTTCATTTTAATTAATAATTGTATAATAATATGTAAATTATTTTTTCCAGTGTCAAGATTAAAGATCCCATATAATCAATTTTCTTTTCTTTTCTTTTCTTTTTTGAGGCATGTTGTTGAAACAGTTTGGACATACCAAAGCACTTTTTTCTCAATATAGAGAGAGTAAATCTGTGTAGTTCAAGATGAGTCATCAATATTTACAGACTGTAAATTTTAAATATGTTTATCTGCTAAATAAATTTATGAGTACATTAACATTTTGTGCAAGCTGACGGACATGCACAAAAAGTCACTATATGTGTGTGTGTGTTTTAAGAATATATGATATATATGTGTGTGTTAAGAAAAAATAATATATATATATATATATATATATATAACATTTGAACAATATATGGCTGAAATATGAGGGTAAGTAAAAAATGTTAAATGTCAGGGTCCTTTAAATTCAAACCCAACTATCCATGTGCCGGAAGTGGTGTAACCGGAAGAAAACCAAAGTTCTGAGGCGGTGTTTTCCATTGTGACTTCGCTATTCGCCGATGCGGTATCTAAGCGAAGATTTTTGCTTTTCGTAGTGGTGTTTCGTAAAGATGGTGGGTAACGTTAACATATTTTAATTTCGCAATAAAAACACGTTGTTTTTGTAAACTATGGCCATATAGGCGATCTTAATGTAATGTAGCTTGCTAACCGGTTACCAGCTTCTTCGATTAACGTTAAACGTCGAATCCAACCGATCACAGATCAGTTTCACTCCTCAGTACTGTTGTTATCACAAACACGCGGAGGAATGCCTGTCAGCGAATATCATTTACATTGTTTCACTAGCAGAAGACTGTACGTTTCAACATATCACCAAGATATGAAGTTTAAAATATTTACATTTAAAAGGGAGCGTAATTATGTAGCCTCATAGTCTTAATGCGTTTTAAGAGGCTTTTAAGTATCTTCCTGCGTTGTTTTTTCCTTCCCAGACTCATCAGCACACAGTCTGTCAGCTGTAGCCAAAGTATATATACATTAAGCCATAATCAGAGAGATGGATGACATCCAGGAGATCTCAGAACCCGGCAGTCCTCTGTACAGTCCCCGGATGAAGCCCGACACTCCGGACTCCCTGAATAATGCCTGTCTATTAAATGACAGTGACCTCCTGTTTGAAGACCGTGGACACTCAAATGAATTCTCCACTTTTGTTCCCGAGACCCCAAGGTAGCGTTTCTTTTGTAAAAAAAAAAAAAAAATTATATTAATTATTATTATTATTTTTTTGCAATGTAATAGACGATTCATAATAATGAGAGCAATGACAAGAATCTGTCCTCACTTTACAGCCCCCTGACTCACAGAAGAAAACAACATTCCCAGAAAGATGACAACAGAAATGTGGTATGAGTAAAAGGGCAGAATGCTATACTATGATACAGCTCTATTTTTGTATTATGCTTGGAGTATTCACATTACAAGAATTCTCTGTGTGCGCAAATACTTGGTTTTCTGGCTACATTTCCTAAAATGTGTAGTAAGCAGCAAAGCATGCTGTGGAATACTGTTACCCACAATGCAGTGGGCTTGACCTTTCATTTCCAGTGCTGACAAGAAATAATGAAGTATTATGAAATGAAAAACAACGATTTTTATATATTATATAATATGCCAAATAACCATTTATTTCTCAAATGTAAGATTTTTTTCCATTAAAGATGCAAAAATATATATTTTGCGATGAAAGTTGCTAAACAATCATTTTTATGTATTTTATAATAAAATATTATATAAAATAAAAAATATATTATATAAAATAACCATTTACCACAATTATTTTAAAGTTAAGAATGCTAAATAATAATTTTAAGTATTACAAAAATGCAAAATATTCTTTATTTATCAAATTAAAAACAAATTACACTTAAAAATGCGAAATAATTTTATATATTATATAAAATGCAAAATAACCATTTATTTATACAATTTAGCAAAATTATTTTACAATTAAAGATGCAAAATAATCATTTTATGTATGATTTAAAATACAGTTAACTGTTTGTTTATAAATTAAAGAATAATTTACAATTAAAAATGCAAAATAGCATTTTTATTTTGTTGGATTAGTTTTCATTATTTTGTTATTCTGCTTAATTACACATGCAATATGTAAACAATGTAATGGCTGCAAATTGAAATTATGTCATTAGAAGTACATAATACTACAGTACTGTTTCACGTACTATTTTTTTTAAAGAATTAGTAAACATTATGCTAACTGCATGCCATAGTATGCCAATTCTAGTACTGCATTCAGAAGAAATTCTGTCTTTTTGGAATTGTTATTCATAAATATTTTAATGCTTTTTTTATGCTTGGTTAAGGCAACATCATCCTGTTCAGATGGAAGCAAATGGGAAGGACGAGAACACATTCTAGGATACCTCAGCACCACTCCAAGCTCCCAGAGAACGATGAAGCGGCGCAGGCTGGAGGACTCAAATGCAAGCACGCTACGTGGACACTCTGCAGTTACAGGAGCAAACAGATTTGTAACGGCCTCGTCTCTTTTATCCTCCAATTTTAAATGGTTGGAGTCTCCACGTCCAGCAACCTCCTATGCTTCTCGTGTTTCTGCATCTTCCAAGCCCTCGTCCTCAGCTGGGTCTTCCACGTGTGCACTGGATCAAAGTAGTGATCCGGCATATTTAAATGAGCTGCTAGTGATGGGTCACACCTCTAAGCAAAAGACACTGAACACCAGCAATGGAAGGGAACAGAGGTCCAAAAAGACCATCTATAGCAAGACCAGATCTAAAGCCTCTAAAAGTACATCAGCACACTCTCCTTTAAACGCAATAGAGTATGAAGCTTCACTGCTGGATGCAGGTACGGATAACCAGGGTCCACACATTTAAAAGAATAGTTCACCCAAAAATGAAAATTTGCTGAAAATGTACTCGCACTCAAACCTTTCAAGTTGTAGATGAGTTTGTTTCTTCATCAGAACAGATTTGTAGAAATTTAGCATTAGATCATTTGCTTAGTTCATCAGTTGCTCAGGATCCTGTGCAGTGAATGGGTGCCGTCAGAATGGGAGTCCAAACAGATGATAAAAACATCACAATAATCCACACGACTCCAGTCCATCAATTAACGTATTGTGGAATGAAAAGCTGTGCATTTGTAATAAACAAATCCATCATTTGAGGTGTTTTATATTTTAACTGGCGTTTACGGCTAAATTACGAGTCCTCTATCCATAAAATTTCTCCAAATCTGTTCTGATGAAGAAACAAACTCATCTGCATCTTGGATGGCCTTAGAGTGAGTACATTTTTAGTACATTTCATTTTTGAGTGAATGTCTTTAAATGTCAGGAGGATATTGCTCAATGTTTTTTCTATAATTTTTTTTTTTGCTTCGTTTGTTTATAGCAAAGAGAATGCAAGAACCAGTGCGTTCACCTGTATGTCAGATACCAGAAAACATTGTCATCATTGAGGATGATGCTGATGATGTTGAGAGCATGGTCCACTCCGTTCATATGGCTGAGGATGAAGCGTATGCCAGAAGCCTTCAGGTACAACTCGCTCTCCTGATCCTTATTGAGGAGCAATAGAAAAGTGACTAACTCTGTTATTCTGGTGTTTGCAGGAACAGTTTGATTTGGAGGAGCGAATGGAGCAGCAGAGGCTACAGAGCAGATCGTCAAACAGAGACAACCACATGGTCAGTTTGGGTTTTTGCTTTATTCTTATTGCTGTTTTTCTTTGGAGCTCTGAATGATGGTGCTTTGATCATACGCCAACAAAAAGTGATGGTTTCGTGCAGGTTGATCCGTATGTTGGATTGGGCTGGATCTCTCCTTGGGCCTCAATGATCACCTCTGCATCATTCTCACGTGGATCCTCTGAGCTTTCAGAGCTGCAGCAGGTCATCTTTGGAGAGCAACCCCGTAAGTCACCATACATGAGCCAAATATAACAGCTCAACAGAAACAGAAATAATTTCATTCTGTCTTGATTTCATTCATTTTAATGAAAAACAGGTTTTAATCAGTTTCGAAAATGCATAAAAATCATAATTATGTATAAAATATAAATTATAAACAATTCACAAACAAATTAATATATTCATAATTTTCATAGAACTAATAAATTAATACATATTATATATTCTATTTAATATCACAAATTATATACATATATTGTCTCTTATTCTCACCAAGACTGCATATATTTGATAAAAAATACAGTAAAAAACTTAATATTGTGAAATATTATTAACATTTGAAATTACTATTTTCTATTTGAATATATTGTAATATGTAATTTATTCCTGTGATGCAAAGCTGAATTTTCAGCAGCCATTTCTCCAGTCTTCAGTGTCACATGATCATTAAAGAAACATTTCTTATTATAAATATTGAGAACAGTTGCGCTGCTCGTTATTTTTGTAAAAACTGTGAAATACTTTTATTCAGGATTCTTTGATGAATAAAAGAAAGCATTTATTTGAAATAAAAATCTTTTTTGACAATATAAATGTCTTTCTGTCACAGCTGCATCTCTGCTGAATAAAAGTATTAATTTCTTTATTAAAAAAAAACTTATCAAATCCAAACCTTTGATCAACAGCGTGTAAATATTATATACTACATTATATATATATTACATATATAACAGTGGTGTTCTGAAATGATGCAAAGTCCTTATTATTATTATTTTTTTTTTATTAATTGTAAATTCATGTCCCAGTCACATTTTCTTGGTTAAATAAACGTTACTTACACTATCAGAATAAAAATCTATTATACATTAACAATGTAATTAATAGGCTATTCTATTTATTAAAACCAAGTATAAATCTCAGCAGTTTAGTGTTTTTAAGCATTTTACATTTATTCCAAAATAACTCAAGGCAGTAAACAATTTAATATATTTTATTAAGACAATTATATATTTTATTGATGAACTGATGTTCAGCTGTTTTTTTTTTTTAAATTTTATAATAAACTTATTTTTGGATAATCAGTCAACAGAGCTCGGTAAACATTGGTCACAAATGTGGAGATGTACCTTTAATTTCAACAAGCTGATTGCTCACAAAAAAAAAAAAAGATAATGTTTTCAGGCCATGTGAAGCTTGATTTTGACGTAAGTGTGTGAATTGCTTACTATTTAATAAAGGCTTCCCATTAATTCCATCATATTGTTCATTCAGACTGATTCACGAACGCGTAATGTGCACAAACACAAGAGGCGGGATTTATCACATGAACCAGTCATATCAAATCATATCGTGATGGAGGCATTGCCTCCTCTCATGTGACTTTCCCCATTCATTCTCAGTTACTTCCCACCAAACTCACTGCACACTTTAGGGGGTCTGTTAAAACTCAATGGGCTCAGGGGAGGCGAGAGAGATGCAGACTCCCGCTGTAATTTTACCCGCTGGTGTCACTGTTGGACATATATATGATATTTAGGATTTATACAATTTTTGTCATATTTTGTAACATTTGCTTTGTTTCATTTTTGTACTATACATTTTTGTTCTCATCCAATATTTTGAGCAGGCACTGCCTCCCTTTTCTCCTCGGAGGAAATGCCCCTGAATGTATATGTATATATATGTATGTATGTATATTTAATTTTTTGATTGAACAGGCAGACAACAGGGCCGCCATCAAACCAACAGAACTCGCAATTCCCGGCGCAGACAAGCTTCTCGCTTGCAGATGGACTTGTTTGATGACAGTCAGGGAAATAATTATGAGGTTTGATTTATACTAATTCACAGAAATCACATGCTTGATTACAATTGGTAACTCTGATATTATCTGTTGCTTTGTCAGGCTCTCTTAGCATTCGAGGAGCAACAAGGTGCTGTAGTAGCCAAGAACACTCTGACAAAGGCCAAGATCGAACGGCTGCCCGTGAAAACATACGATCCCGCACACAGCGCAGGAAAGACAGAGTAAGTCACAGAAGAGGACGCAACAAAAGAGATTTCCCATAATGCAATATTTAAATCATACTCTCTTTACAGTTGCCAGATCTGTTTCAGTGAGTACAAGGCGGGTGAACGACTCAGGATCCTTCCATGTCTCCATGATTACCACGTCAAATGCATCGACCGCTGGCTAAAGGTCTAGCTTGCTTTAAAAACACAATCCCATAATTCATTTCACAGTCGCATTTTGCTAATCATTTTCTGCGTTTCTTACAGGAGAACGCCACATGTCCAATCTGCAGAGCGGATATATCAGAGTGTGGTGGTTTTTCTTGAGCTCACAACTTCAGGACTCAGAATCTACCTCACAGCTGGTCATTTGACCCTGTTAGATTTTTAAACAGTCTTATTTTGTGTGTCATTAAATGATTTTACATGCAAAATATCGTCCAAGGTTGGAACCAGCATAAAGCACTGCCAAGCACTGTTTTATTTAGAAAGATCCTTCTAAAATTTATCAGACATGACTGTATCACACCAGTGGCAACAAACCTGTTACGACACTGTTAGCAATAGCTAAACTTGAATTTCTGACTTACAAATAGAATCACTTTATATACACTTTCTGTCCATTTTTATTATAACCGAGACAAAAAATATATATGTTGCTGTTACAGTCATTCTATCACTGTTGTTTATGTAAATATCAGGCATCATGCCATGTAGCATGTGATTTTATTCACTCTGTTTCGTAATATCGCTTCTTCAAGGCTCTGTACTTCCGGAGGTAATAGAGGGCCTCGAGCTCTTTCACCACGAATTCTCCTCGGCTGATGAGCTCTTCGATCTTTTCGGGGTCGCGCACATCTTTATTCTTAGCAAACACAGCCCTCAGTCTGTCTCTGGAATAGTCGGCTTTTTTCGGATACTCCCGTCCAAGAAACAGCAACTTCAAGCAGAAGAATCAGAAGACAGGATTATGAATTTCTAATGCCTAGAGTCACAGATGTGTGCAGAATTGGCAGAATTTTTTTCATACTTGAATGTCCATTCTCTTAATATAAATGAAGACTATGACTTAATATAGCTAGTCGATATTGGGCAGATCAGGGCTAGTTGTCAATTTTAAGTCCAATGAATACTGTGCTACCAAGTAATACTTGGTTTATTTTTCGAGGTAATTCTGTAAAAGATTTTTTTTTGCTAAAAAAAAAACACTTGTAACGCCTCAGCAGATCAGACCAATCTTTTGCTCAACTTGTACTGATATAATACCAGTGTTGGGGGTAACGCATTACAAGTAACGCGAGTTACGTAATCTAATTACTTTTTTACAGTAACTAGTAAAGTAACGCATTACTTTTACTAATGTAGTAACGAGTTACTTTTTCAAATAAGTAACGCAAGTTACTTTTTTTTCCAATTTATTGATTGACAAGTCTCCTGTCCCCATGTTGAGAGAAATCAGAAGATGCTATGGTAGTTTTAAAATAAATATGAATATGCATTAATTCATCTCACTCACAAAAAAAAAACCCACAGATTCAGTATTCCTCAAAATGAATAAAAATAATGCAACTCAGAATATGACGCGAACCTGCAATAATTAAATGTTAAACAACACAAATATCCTTTATGTTTTTAATCCCATTCTATTAACCAATGTCTTTGCTTCTGACCTTCGATGATCCAGTTCAATCAGGCTAATAAGCACAAGAAATAATTTCATTCTGTCTTGATTTCATTCATTTTAATGAAAAACAGGTTTTAATCAGTTTCGAAAATGCATAAAAATCATAATTATGTATAAAATATAAATTATAAACAATTCACAAACAAATTAATATATTCATAATTTTCATAGAACTAATAAATTAATACATATTATATATTCTATTTAATATCACAAATTATATACATATATTGTCTCTTATTCTCACCAAGACTGCATATATTTGATAAAAAATACAGTAAAAAACTTAATATTGTGAAATATTATTAACATTTGAAATTACTATTTTCTATTTGAATATATTGTAATATGTAATTTATTCCTGTGATGCAAAGCTGAATTTTCAGCAGCCATTTCTCCAGTCTTCAGTGTCACATGATCATTAAAGAAACATTTCTTATTATAAATATTGAGAACAGTTGCGCTGCTCGTTATTTTTGTAAAAACTGTGAAATACTTTTATTCAGGATTCTTTGATGAATAAAAGAAAGCATTTATTTGAAATAAAAATCTTTTTTGACAATATAAATGTCTTTCTGTCACAGCTGCATCTCTGCTGAATAAAAGTATTAATTTCTTTATTAAAAAAAAACTTATCAAATCCAAACCTTTGATCAACAGCGTGTAAATATTATATACTACATTATATATATATTACATATATAACAGTGGTGTTCTGAAATGATGCAAAGTCCTTATTATTATTATTTTTTTTTTATTAATTGTAAATTCATGTCCCAGTCACATTTTCTTGGTTAAATAAACGTTACTTACACTATCAGAATAAAAATCTATTATACATTAACAATGTAATTAATAGGCTATTCTATTTATTAAAACCAAGTATAAATCTCAGCAGTTTAGTGTTTTTAAGCATTTTACATTTATTCCAAAATAACTCAAGGCAGTAAACAATTTAATATATTTTATTAAGACAATTATATATTTTATTGATGAACTGATGTTCAGCTGTTTTTTTTTTTTAAATTTTATAATAAACTTATTTTTGGATAATCAGTCAACAGAGCTCGGTAAACATTGGTCACAAATGTGGAGATGTACCTTTAATTTCAACAAGCTGATTGCTCACAAAAAAAAAAAAAGATAATGTTTTCAGGCCATGTGAAGCTTGATTTTGACGTAAGTGTGTGAATTGCTTACTATTTAATAAAGGCTTCCCATTAATTCCATCATATTGTTCATTCAGACTGATTCACGAACGCGTAATGTGCACAAACACAAGAGGCGGGATTTATCACATGAACCAGTCATATCAAATCATATCGTGATGGAGGCATTGCCTCCTCTCATGTGACTTTCCCCATTCATTCTCAGTTACTTCCCACCAAACTCACTGCACACTTTAGGGGGTCTGTTAAAACTCAATGGGCTCAGGGGAGGCGAGAGAGATGCAGACTCCCGCTGTAATTTTACCCGCTGGTGTCACTGTTGGACATATATATGATATTTAGGATTTATACAATTTTTGTCATATTTTGTAACATTTGCTTTGTTTCATTTTTGTACTATACATTTTTGTTCTCATCCAATATTTTGAGCAGGCACTGCCTCCCTTTTCTCCTCGGAGGAAATGCCCCTGAATGTATATGTATATATATGTATGTATGTATATTTAATTTTTTGATTGAACAGGCAGACAACAGGGCCGCCATCAAACCAACAGAACTCGCAATTCCCGGCGCAGACAAGCTTCTCGCTTGCAGATGGACTTGTTTGATGACAGTCAGGGAAATAATTATGAGGTTTGATTTATACTAATTCACAGAAATCACATGCTTGATTACAATTGGTAACTCTGATATTATCTGTTGCTTTGTCAGGCTCTCTTAGCATTCGAGGAGCAACAAGGTGCTGTAGTAGCCAAGAACACTCTGACAAAGGCCAAGATCGAACGGCTGCCCGTGAAAACATACGATCCCGCACACAGCGCAGGAAAGACAGAGTAAGTCACAGAAGAGGACGCAACAAAAGAGATTTCCCATAATGCAATATTTAAATCATACTCTCTTTACAGTTGCCAGATCTGTTTCAGTGAGTACAAGGCGGGTGAACGACTCAGGATCCTTCCATGTCTCCATGATTACCACGTCAAATGCATCGACCGCTGGCTAAAGGTCTAGCTTGCTTTAAAAACACAATCCCATAATTCATTTCACAGTCGCATTTTGCTAATCATTTTCTGCGTTTCTTACAGGAGAACGCCACATGTCCAATCTGCAGAGCGGATATATCAGAGTGTGGTGGTTTTTCTTGAGCTCACAACTTCAGGACTCAGAATCTACCTCACAGCTGGTCATTTGACCCTGTTAGATTTTTAAACAGTCTTATTTTGTGTGTCATTAAATGATTTTACATGCAAAATATCGTCCAAGGTTGGAACCAGCATAAAGCACTGCCAAGCACTGTTTTATTTAGAAAGATCCTTCTAAAATTTATCAGACATGACTGTATCACACCAGTGGCAACAAACCTGTTACGACACTGTTAGCAATAGCTAAACTTGAATTTCTGACTTACAAATAGAATCACTTTATATACACTTTCTGTCCATTTTTATTATAACCGAGACAAAAAATATATATGTTGCTGTTACAGTCATTCTATCACTGTTGTTTATGTAAATATCAGGCATCATGCCATGTAGCATGTGATTTTATTCACTCTGTTTCGTAATATCGCTTCTTCAAGGCTCTGTACTTCCGGAGGTAATAGAGGGCCTCGAGCTCTTTCACCACGAATTCTCCTCGGCTGATGAGCTCTTCGATCTTTTCGGGGTCGCGCACATCTTTATTCTTAGCAAACACAGCCCTCAGTCTGTCTCTGGAATAGTCGGCTTTTTTCGGATACTCCCGTCCAAGAAACAGCAACTTCAAGCAGAAGAATCAGAAGACAGGATTATGAATTTCTAATGCCTAGAGTCACAGATGTGTGCAGAATTGGCAGAATTTTTTTCATACTTGAATGTCCATTCTCTTAATATAAATGAAGACTATGACTTAATATAGCTAGTCGATATTGGGCAGATCAGGGCTAGTTGTCAATTTTAAGTCCAATGAATACTGTGCTACCAAGTAATACTTGGTTTATTTTTCGAGGTAATTCTGTAAAAGATTTTTTTTTGCTAAAAAAAAAACACTTGTAACGCCTCAGCAGATCAGACCAATCTTTTGCTCAACTTGTACTGATATAATACCAGTGTTGGGGGTAACGCATTACAAGTAACGCGAGTTACGTAATCTAATTACTTTTTTACAGTAACTAGTAAAGTAACGCATTACTTTTACTAATGTAGTACCGAGTTACTTTTTCAAATAAGTAACGCAAGTTACTTTTTTTTCCAATTTATTGATTGACAAGTCTCCTGTCCCCATGTTGAGAGAAATCAGAAGACGCTATGGTAGTTTTAAAATAAATATGAATATGCATTAATTCATCTCACTCACAAAAAAAAAACCCACAGATTCAGTATTCCTCAAAATGAATAAAAATAATGCAACTCAGAATATGACGCGAACCTGCAATAATTAAATGTTAAACAACACAAATATCCTTTATGTTTTTAATCCCATTCTATTAACCAATGTCTTTGCTTCTGACCTTCGATGATCCAGTTCAATCAGGCTAATAAGCACAAATTACTCTAGACAAACATTTGTGTGTCTTTTTTTTTATTGCTGAAGTGTGTTGAAATTTCTTCTTCTGCATTCTACTGTACGGACGTGAATTTACTTTCCCTTCAGCCTGAGGTTTATTCATTTCACTTTTGGTGTGAAAAGGCTTTTATATTTGCCAAAAATATAACTTTTTTATTTTAAAAACAAACAAGCAAGTCATGTCCAGATTTAAAAAGTAATGCAAAAGTAACGTAATGCATTACTTTTCATAAAAAGGAACTAAGTAACGTAATTAGTTGCTTTTTATGGAGTAACGCAATATTGTAATGCATTACTTTTAAAAGTAACTTTCCCCAACACTGTATAATACTATACACGTATGTGTGTGTACATATTTTTTTCAGTCTTGAGTAGAATTAAGATTTCTATTTTTATTGATTTTTGTTTTAGATTTATATTTCACAATAAATACATCATTTTTACCAATATACAAAAACACTGAGAAACACTTCGTAATTTGTCATTTGACTCAGAACTTTATAGTAACTATGATTAAAACCCCGGGACAACTTTTAATTTCTGATTTCAAGTTTACATGAAAATGACGAGGGGTTTGTAAATGTTGTTTTCATGGCATTTCAAAGCAGAAGGGGGCAGCGTACTCCGTTTTGTACAGTTGCACTACCTCTGCTCGGAGTGGGTTGGCCATTTCCCAGTGATTACTCTGATCTCAGCCCACCAACCTGCGTACAATAGGCCTACACTCCAGGGGCCTCATTTATAAAATCCACGGCAACGTTCATATTTATAAAAACGGTCTTTGACGTGGAAAAGTACTTACCGCCACGTCAGGGTCTGAGCAGGCGTACACACTTTTCATTGTGGCAAAGTCGGAGTACTGCAGCTATTTGAATATCTAAGCTGCAATAATAATTAAAGCGGTGTACGTGAAAGCACCGAATTCATAAACAACAAAGATGCAGTGTAAGAGATTAATTGTGTAGTGTAGTCAGATTTTTTTTTTATTAACGGGAGTTTTTGCGAGATTAAACTGACCTTTTTAGTAGCCTAATGTTGAGTTCGCTTTCTGTATAGTTTATTCCATGTTGTTGTTTTTTTTATTATTTTACAAGAGAACTTGCGAAGTCGTCATTTAATAGCCTACTAATGCGTAAAATAGAAAACAAAAAATGCATAAACGCATCTCCGACTGTTTTGTAGCCTAAAAGAATAGGCCTACGTCGTGCAATAACGGTTTTAATATATTGTATTCAATAACATTGTTAACTTTTTATTTATAACATCTGCTGCTTTGCTTCTGTGAAAATGAATAGAGACATCGGCCTTAAACTTTGTTTGTCATTTACATCAGTTATATTTGTCTAAAATACACTATATATATTTTTGTTTCAGTACATTAATGGCACATTTGAGCAGCATTAGTAAACTGTGTAAATATAAAGAAATGCCAAATCACATGCAAGGTTTTTCAGACCGGAGACCATAATCGAGTAATAATTAATTTTATTATGATATGAAACGTCCAATTGTTCTTTCAGTAAATGTTTTCTAAAGTTTTGCAAGAATTTCGTGGTACTAAACTTTTTATTAGTTGTCATAGCAAGTGATTTTAAAAGTAGGATGGCTCACTTTTTATGACTGAAAATGTTACTTGAATTCGTAGTTTATTCTTACTTTTGGAAAACTAATTGTTTTATAATTATTATTATTATTATTATTATTATTATTATTATTGTTATTTCTGTTGTTTCTAGAAGTAGTAATTTTGATAAGTCAATAGAAAAAATATAACCACACACATTGTTTGTCCACAGAATAATTACGCGTTATTAAATAAAAAGCGTCGCCGCACGAACCTCTACCTCCGCTAGCAGGACCTCAATTTCAGACTCAGTAAAGTTGTTTTTTCTTTGTGCTCGTCATTCTCAAGCATAGAAATTCAGATACTGGCGTGAGCTCATTTATATGGTAATAATATTAATTAGGGAGCGTATACATGGCGGAGATCTGACACCAGTCAGCTGCGCACAATTTCAAGATCATTTGCGATTTATAAATGTCACATCTGGAAGAGAGGCGTAAGCACGCGTTTTTGAGCGCAGGTTCGT